TTTTTTTTTTTTTTTTTTTTTTTTTTTTTTTTTTTTTTTTTTTTTTTTTTTTTTGTTTGATACTTCAATTTTAAATTTTTTGTAATTTCACTCGTAACTACATTCTTCTCTTGCAAATGACACAATTCTGTCAAAGGTGTTAATAATTTTTTACGGTGCAAATTATATAAATTGTTGCTTATTAAACTTTAACTCAAGAGTATCGGTTTTAATGTCGTATCCTCCGCAGGTTTGATGAACGAGTTAACCAACTTTATAATTGAAAATGTGCTTTTTAATTTGTGTCGTTTAGGACTTCTTTTTTTAAATTAAACAACATTAAGAAATACTGTTGACGATTGCTAGTTTTATTGTTTGACGTCGAGATAAAGAAAAATCTACGTTTTGTATATTTTATGGATAACAGGTACTACTTCTTAGTTTTCTTTGCCATAGTATATTCTGTACAGCTATAGAAACACGTTTATGACGCAAATGGATTTTCAGATGCAGTGTTCGCAACGTTGTTTCCTCATTGAATAATATCTTCGTATTTTGTACAAAATGTAAAACATGCATTTCCTGACAAGGCTCTGCATCATGGAATTTTAAGCGCTATTATATATATAGAGAGAGAGAAAAACTACACGTATTATGTACGTGTATATATATATATATATATTTTTCGTTTATTTAACGGTTCAATACGTTTTTATTAGATAACGTGGCACAAATTTAAATTAATTTAAACTATATACATATATATATATATATACATATATATGTATATACCTAAATATATATATTTATATATATGTAATTATTGCCACAAATAATCTGATTTAAACGTTACTGTGACATTTGTAATATAGTTTCATTGAGACTATGAGATCGTACGTGCAGACAGATTTTATGTGATTGTTATAAGCTCATATCTCCGTTTTCACTTTATGCAGTGAATTTTAAACTCTATATATATATAAGACATATATATATATTTTGTAACTGTAATCTGTATATGAAATGAATATACATATAATAATAGATAAACAATAATATTGTATAGAAGAGAGATATTGAAATACATGAACAATGCTTTTAAACATTATTGTCTAACATCATTTTGTACCACTAAATTTATTACTTTGATTCTCCGATAATATTAATTTTTTGTAACAAGAAAGAAAAGAAAAGAAGAAGAATTCTTTGCCTCTGCTTTTACGAATGAAACAAGACAAAAAACAATGTAAACCAAATATTTTTTAACACTATATTTAAATACTTCGTAATCATACAAACATTTAATTCAGATGTTGAAATTTTTATGTTTTTATCCTCATCTAATTTTTATTTTAGATATTTTCTCTCGCTTAGCTTCGATTTATTCTGCTTTATCATTTCAATATTATGTCATGTGTGTTTTGAATATTAAACGTTGATAAATATATGTATATTAAGAGTAATATATCTCTTTTCTAACACATTTGTATTTAAAAATAGTAAAACTGTCATAAATTGAAATTGTTAAACAGTTTCATCCAAATCATGTTAATACGTCGTCTTTTTTTGTTGTGCTTTCGATTTAAATAGTTCACTCGTCGTCTATGAATGTACTTACATAGATCGAAAATTGAACTAAAAATATTGTTTTAAACTCATTTTTCATTTCATCTTATGTTCACTTACTTTGTCCATGCAAAATTATTAAAAAAAATTTGTTTTATTATTTTCAGATATTATTGGTACTAAATATTAATATATATCCTATAATTATTCAAATTATAAAAATTTATAATTAATATATTATTGTTTAAATTAAGAAATTATTATTTACTTACTAATTATTTATGAAGTGCCGATAATATGTTAAAAAATAGTAAAACAACAAATTGCAACATATCATTTTTTAATGTGTTTGAATTTCGTTTATTATTTTCGTATATAAAACCTCTCCTTATAAAATATTAATTTTTTTTTATTATATTCTTTAAAAAATATCCTTTTACCTATCCATGTTTTTTCAAATCAATAATTTTTATTTCTAGAATACAATTATTTACAGATATGTAAGCGATTAAATGTGTCAGTGTATAATGACAATCACATAATGACAAATAATTTGTTCGAAAATGAAAAGAAGAAAGATAGGATAAAAAAAAAAAATAAGTTCCTTTTAAATAAGTGAAAAACTTTTATGAAAATTCTGTTTTTATGTAGAAAAGTTGAATATTATTTTTGAATATACTTTTTATTTATTTTTGTATTTGATCGTAGTTTGTTTTATAATTTTTTTTTTTTTTTACTTAAATTCTTTTATTATTATTATTTTAAAAAAGCGTAAAATATATAAAAGGAATGTTTGTAACTTGGTACAATGTGTAAAATATTGTAATAAATTATTTTGTAATTGTACTGTAATAAGAGCTCTCAAGTATATTGAACTTAGTAGTAATTACCCACGATAGTGTAATGAACATTATCATAAGAAATCTATATTCACATATAATGGTGTACTTGTTAAAAAAGTTAACATAAATCGATTGTTGTAGATGGATGGGAATGGTTGGAGTTTAGGCAGGATCTTGGCAGGACGTAAGCCTGTATTTCTTTACCGTAATGTTAGGCAATGGAGGAAAAGAACTGCGAGAATGATGTCGGCATCTATGCCTAATACTATGCCTCATCCCGAGAAAAGTGCAGAGTAAGTATTTTTTCAATTTCTATAGTAATTTTTCTAATTC